CCCCCAACTTTTGTAGAATTAACATATTCGGAAAATCGGGTTGGCCATTCGGAAAATTACGGCAATAATAGTATATGCTTTTTGTACGAAAATCATGAGATTCAGGCAATTTATAGGTAATATTTGACTTTTGGCATGTCCGGAAAAATTTTTTGACCCTTAAAATGGTACACTGACCGAAATTTTTTTGGCGACGGGGGGGGGGCGGGAGGTCGCCCAAAATTTTCGATTGGAAAAAAATTTCCTACATCTTCATATGCCAGCTTCGTATGCCATGAAATATTCGGAAATTTTCTTCGTCATTCGGAAATTTTTGGCCTACACCCCCCCCCCCCCAACTATACATGCTAGCTACGGCACTGTGTACTGAATGTGATAAATATACTGGATCTATTATATTAATTCAGTATCGAACAACACTAATATTCTGCAAGTATATATCAAATGATTGCTTATCCGATGATAAGTTGCATGGATAGTGTGATGTAATTATTGGTTGTGATCACTGAAGTCCTTACAAATGTGTTTTTTAATGTTTTCTGTGCCTCTCGGTTTGTTAAATGCTGTTCTCCGTTTCTCTCGGTGTATTGTTGAAAACTTAACGTTCGCTTCGCAATGCAATGCTATATCCGACAAGGAAAAAAATCATCATGGAAGCAAAAAGATTACTACTTTTTAGCAGAAATACAACTTGGTGCAAAAACAATAAAATCACTCTTCGACGTTACATTGGAAAGCTTTGATAGTGCCGAAAGACGTGAGTTAGTAGGCTAATATCTACTATTAAAGCTCGCACCAGAGTATGACGGCTTTTCAGCATTTAACAAAACACCGAGAATATATATATGATGAAACAGACTGTTGTGGTTTTTTGAGGTAAAACGAAAAACTATATTACGCTCTATCTATATGGTATTGAACACTGTTTGTGTTTCGTAAACCAAAATCTTAAGTTATATATATATATATATATATATATATATATATATATATATATATATATATATATATATATATATATATATATATATAAAATAAAAAATATA